ATTTATACTTCCTGTTCAAATATATAAAGAACAACAACTTTAATGATGAATTAGATGAAATTTAAGGAGAAACAAATGAGGAAGGATCCAGCGCTCACGAAAAAAACACTGAATTTAAATTTCGGCGTCCTAACGATAAACTAGTAGACAGTATTTTTGGACAAGTGGGAAATCGAATTGCTAGTTGCCTACCTACCGGTGATTTAAAAAATATGACGTGAGCATTTTTCTTTCACTTATGTATTACCACACTACATATATTCCCTAAGATGGAAAAATCATATCCGCCAAATTTTATGATTCCAATTACTAATAACTGTAGGAGATAAGGGAAATTGAAATGAGTTAATTTGTTATAATGAATTGATTGATAGTAATAATAATTGATTATTCTTTCATACCACATTACAGGGAAATCTCCGAGATGTCTGAATGTGCAAACTATGAGTTGAACCGTCGATATAGAATATTACATTACCGGGACGGTAAAATAACACCGCCATATTTGAAGAAGGATTTGGAACTCATATCTAAGACGAATTTCACCGATACTAAGGCTTGTTTCATTCTTTGTTTCTGTCAAGAATAATAATTTACTAAAAATCAGAAAGAACTTATGAGAGACGAAGATTTGATGACGTAATGATGCAAATTCAAACTTTAGCACCGAGAATCCTTCGCAACGAATCATTGGATACCAGGTGAAGCGATTTTGTTTGGTAGAGGAAAACCAATCAATGCAATATCCAGTGTGCACTGTTTTTCTCAGTCTCGATATTCACATCTCACAAAGATCACCTAGAAATTATCGACGAAATACCCGCATCTTGTTAGAAATTTATAATGGATTTTTTCATTATAATCTTATTGTAATTTTTCAATGAATGGCATTAAACCATTATTAAACAAACGAATAGTTCTAATCATGTGATTTCAGCAACTGGGCCATACTCACCTAATGAAATAGAAGGAAGTCCAATGAACGGAGTGATTATCCCATACAGTATAAGTTCATCGTGCATGAAACATTTTCTCCTGAATGCCTACGATATGTTAGTCATCTTTTTATCAAATAATGCCAAAGTCATCCAATATTGAGATTTAATTGCTTTTGGTACAAATACTGCGGTGATTTCCATTCCAAACTTTGCATCAATTAAAAGTGACAATCGAATGGTCATAATACTTGAATGGTAATGATAATGAAGTGATACTTGGGTGATAATGAAATCTCTCCGTTTATAAATGTACTAAGCAGAAGGCATAATAGCGGCATAATAGTAAGCAGAAGGCATAATACCGAAAACAATTTAATTAAGGATTGCAATTAGAATTAGAATTGAACCAATATACCAAGTGTGTAATTCATTCCGCCCCAAAAGATCAATACAAAACTCTACTAAATATTTAATATTCAATGGGTATATTATTCATTGTCATGTTTGTCGTTAACTGTAACAGTTATTTTCAGTGAATTCTGGGCATGTATCATCACATTGCTTATCCATAAAGTGAGTTAATTAAAGCTTAATGCATACATCAGTATGCAACACTCCGAAGTATTATGTTTATAGTGAATTGAATTCTCCATAGGATTTCATTTCTAGAGCTTATTAAAAGTACGATCTTCGGAACCTAATAAAATAATCATAAATCCCAGGATCGTGTGGTATTGGTCATTGTGATTAGTAACGATCTCAGATATACTAATGAAGGCATTAAATGTGGAGCACTGACTCTAACCAACCAAACTCGAAAGTTTTTACCAAATGTACCAATTTGCATTGTTGCTCAATCGGATAATCGAAATAAGACGTAAGTTAGACTTGATTGTTTCTTGACTAACAGATTAATCTAGAATGGAGTAACATCGGAAAGAGTTGATTATGATAATATTCATCCACAGAATGTTTTTGATAAAATGAACATTAATTCCGGTGCCGAATAAGAATGTCTTCCTTGACGGTCTACGAAATAGGGCGAATGCTACAATAATTATGAAAAAACGATGAATGTTTTAACATTGTCGCAATAAATGTGTCTATTTCGGTACACCCATCAATCCGATAGGGACTGGCAGAGTGTTAATATTCCACGGATCTGATGTAAAGCGTCGACCCTTGTCGTAGATTCTATGAAGTATGATCCCAATAATTCCTACGATAATAATTTGACTGTTGGTCTAATTATTATAAAAAAGATGAAATGAAATGAGTTAACAAGCAGTATGCCATTTTTTTGCCAAATTTTCTCAACATTAAAAAAAAGACAACTGAAGAAATGTCTTATCATTTCTTTTTTCTTCCCAGTTTCGATAGAAAAACTGTTTATGATAGTATTTTTCACTTCTTTCCATAACCTCTTAATTTTTACCCTTATCAGAAGAAGATGAATAACAGTATGAAATCATTTCAAATATTGGCAAAACGAGACATCAATTTATTATTTCCGTGCTTATTAACATTTCCACACTCATCCAGTAATACTATATATACTTTTTTATATATCCTATAAATCACAACAATCACTTTGTATCCATTAATAGTACTGTCTGAAGTTTTTAGAGGTTCCAAATTTCTCCACTTAGGTGGAAGTTTTATCATTGATGTTG